TCAGCAAGTCCCTGCTAACCTGTAGCATTAGTACTTCAAATTGCTAGACACACTAAGGTATCCATACTGCCCATTGTGCAGCAAGAACACTGGTGGGCCTCACAATCTTCCAGGTCCTCTAAGTTAAGCCACCATTACAGTCAGCAAATACTGACTTTTTTTTCTAGTGAATGGCCATAAACTGGATGAGAGGAGAGATAAATCTTTGGTCTAGTCCTTGAAGTGTCACCCACAAGACCAAGGTAGTTTTTCTCCAATCTTGGGTCTGAAATAGACTCCTGGGTGACAAATGAGCTGGTGTTCCACAAGAAGGTCATCCTGTGCTGCCTAAATTGAATCCAGAAACACTGGACCACATTGATATATGTGAAGAAGGGAAAGATAGCACCTTCATGTACACAATTGGTATTCTGATGTTCAGATGTTCCTTCCCCTGATTTGTGGAGTGAATGAGGATGACAAATTTGATTGTTCCTTCATCTGCTCAGACATTGAGAACTTCTCTCTTTGTGGAAGAGAAACTTCAACATTCTTGCATTTATTGGTCTTTATTTATTTTATTTTTCCTTTCTAGTATTATTTTTCTTGTTCCCTACTTCTTAATCCTAACTGTAACTCATTTTGTTTACCAATCCTGGACCACTTATGTTTCTGTGACATCAAACCTTGCCCTTCCTGTCTCTCTGATACTTCTTTCGTTGATTTTAATCTTTCTCCATCCTCTTCTATTTCATAATTCTCATGTTTGTGATTGCCTTTGCCTATGGCATGAGGGGATGGACTATTGGTATCGGTTTCACCCTCCAGTACCCCCTGCTCCTGTCTTTACCTGATTCTTTTTTACCTCAGTTCTTTATTTCTTCTCTTTTCACCTTCAGTCTGAGGTACTTCACTATGGCTGTTCCACTTCTACCATTCCCTTCTCACTCACCTCCTTGTTCCTAGAGGTTGTTGGGTAAGGATACTCATCTATCTCAAGTTTGACTTCTTTTTTTCCTTCTTGGAGCCCTTTGTCTAACCTTTTTCTTTGCCATGAAGTTTGGTGGTATTTTTGACTTGACTGCTTCATGAGCTGATGCTGCCTGTCATCAATCCTCACTTTCATATGTCATTTCTATATGGTCCCCAACACTACTTTACTCCATTTTTGTACCTCGTCTTTGCCCCTGGTTCCCTGTCTATTGATTCCCAACTTTCTCTTCTACCCAGTGGCAGACTTTTTGAGCACATCAGTAATTTCAGATCCTGTGGGTGCCCAGCTGTCATAGTTTGAGCTTTTGTTGTCACACATTTCTGTCCACACAGGGATTTTTCTAATTTTTACCCATGGACTTTCTATCCTCTTTTTTCCTTTCTCCTTTTGATCTTGTCTTTTCCATTATCTCATGGAGGCTATATTCGTCACCACTTCCACCAATTCCTCAATCCCACTCAATATCTTATTCACCGGGAAGTGGAAGGGGTTTTAACACGTTCTTTACTGGGATCTGCCTTCTCCCATCTGCATATGGACCAAACAGTCACTAGGTTTTTGCACCTATCCTACATCTTTCTGTATGTGAGGTTTAGTGATTGGTGACCAAGGGTTCATTGGAACAGCTTATCCCTTTGGGTCACACACACATATGTACCTCATTCTTTGGTCCTCATATGACCAGAAGTGTACCTCATGGAATTTTTGGACCTCAATGGTTCTCCTGTCCCTTCCTCTATTCTAGTATTTGTATTGATGGTGGGATTGATCCAATATCAACCTCTCTGTTTCATAACCTCCTCTTGTTGGGAAGCATCCCTGAACATCAATTTTACATCTGGTACATGGACCTCAGACAAGTCCTCTCTCCGTATCCACATGCTCAAACTTCCGGTAGACTGTCTAACATGATCGCATTAATACCTCCCTCATATAATTGTACCAAAAACATGCCAATGTCCCCATTCTACTGCTGTTTGAATTTTGTTTCCTGAGTGGTCTGGTGTTTGGTTATCCTAGGACTTGTCAACATAAGTCCTCATACATGTGGTTGGTAGGGATCCTCATCCTACTGCAGATTAGATGAAACATTCCCAATGGCACTTGCTTTTGGACCAGAGTTGACCCACCGTGTTTGCATTCTCCTTCCTACCATTGCCCAATTGTTGGGTTCCCAGATGGCTTAGTGTTGGTTGTGTACTGAGTCTGCATACATGCTTTGCCTGGGTTATGGGAATAGAAGTTGCTTTTCCATTCTATTTCCTGGTCATGAGATGAAGATAGTTGGGAACCTCCTCCAACCTTTTGTTATCTCCTGTGAAGTTAAGTTGAGGTGAGCACTTAAAACAAATCCAATTGAATTGATGCATGCACTAACATAATATGTTATCCTCCTGCAGCTTGATGGTAGAGTTGAGATTAACATGCAATAATGATTTCTGTGACCTTCTCCCACAGCTATTGTAGATCCAACAAGTCTGATGATAGAGTTGAGTCAAGTGCTAGGTACAATCTGAAGAGCCCCAATCACGCTACACATATTGGCCCTCTGACCTCTTGTGTGCAAGTTCTTGGACTGCCATGTTCTTACTCTGCCCATACTTGTGACACATGGAGCTTGTTTGCCTCTTCTTCCCATCCAGTCTGGGTGAAGAATGTACCCTGCAAGAGATGAGATGTGATCTCCCACAATTATGCCCCTATGGAACCCCTGCCATTGGGAATTGCACTCCATGGGTTTCCTTCAAGCAGTGTCTGAAGGAAGCTCATCTAGGTAACTTTCACACTGATCCCATTACCATACCAACATGGAATTCTACTTTTCTATGTGCATAAATCTGTATCACCTCAGAAATTAACATTTTCTATGCCTAAATGTATTTTTGCATACACTTCCCACTTTTCCTCCTCACTTCCAGTACAACTTAGTATTCCTTGTATTGTCTCAGAATGAAGATCATGAGAGCAAAATCATAGAGGAAGCTAGTGTGCAGGGAGGCTGTGTCGGCCTTCTATTGGTGGAAGGCTTTTGCTGCATAATGTCATTATGCAGTAGTTCAATTCACAATAAATGACATGAATTTAGGTGGTAGTTGCTTGAAGGCTAGTGGCATGTAAATCTCTAAGGCAGATGCATGGGGAAGATAGTTTTATGTGTGAAGAAATGAGTATCTATCAGAATTACATTTTCAGTTAATGAAAATGTTAACTTTACAAAACATTTCTCCATAAATATATGAGGTGTCAATGTGTTTACTGTTCTGAGTGCAAAGTGATTTTTATGTTAAGGTTAGAAATATTTTTCTTCATCTGAAAATTGTTAAATTTCATTTGTGTAACCTCTAAACCTCTTAAGTAAAGATCAAACTTTATTTTATCAGTAAATCTTTTTATTTTCTTTACCCTAACTATATATACACTTGGTCAATTTTACTGACCGTGTAACCACTGTAAAAATATGAAATAAATCTAAATTACTCTTTTCTATTTTTAGAATGACTACAACTTAGGACAGGAAATTCTTAACTCTTTCACAACTATAACTGAAAGTACTTGATGTATGTCCACAGAATTTGGCAAGCTTTTGATAAACATTACAAGTCTTTTGTAGACAAAAAATCAGAATTTTTAATGAAGTATTTTTACTTTGTAAAAGAATGTTGACTTTTCTAAGTACAAAGTGATTTTCATGTTATGGTTAAAAGTATTTTTCTTCATTTGAACATTTTAAAAATTCATTTGCCTAATTTCTAAAATCTCCTAATTAGATATCAAATTGTTTTTTAGAAAAACTATTTTATTTGTTTACTCTACCCTAACTCTATACCCATTTGATCAATTTGACCAACCTCGTAACCATCATACAAAATTAGTAAATGAATCTAAATTACCCTTTTTCTTTCTAAAATGACTGCAAATCGTAACAGAAAACCAATTGTTTAAACTAAATAGCATATTTAAAATAAATAGGATGTGACAGGTGAGCATGGCAAGTGAGTCAGATTTTCTAGCTTATGCTTCTGTAAACAAATAAGATTGAAAGCTATAAACATTTCGCTCTGAGTGAGTAACATCTATATTAAAATTAGTAATTTACATTAAATTCCATACCTCTCAGAGGAGTGCTAAATAAATTAAAGAAAAGGAAACACCTAGAAAGCAAGTGTCACAATTCTCATATTAGGGAAGGTTGAGGATTTTTATAATAATCACAATTGACTGTAGTTTTTTAAATATTTATTGAAACAGCAAGCTGATAATAGAATGAATTTTACTTGAAAGTCAATAGTTTATGCTAAATGATTTACAGAGCAAAGCATAAATAGGTTAACACAGAGAAATATGTTAAATATTTTCAAAAGTATTTTACCTGTATTTTGTGTTTAATCCTAAAATAACTATCTGTTAATCTTTGAATGCAGTTGCTTTAAATACATGCAGGATTTTTCCAAGTCGTACATTGTATATAGCACACTCGCATTCAGTGATCGGAGGTAGACTGTACCTTATATGGCGAATCAGCAGTGAATGGGTTAATAGTGAACAAGCAAAAACATTGATTTTTTTTTATTCATGTATTTAGCTGAATCAGACTTTCATTTGCCTGAGACATTTAGCAGCCACTAATGTGAAATATTGACCTTGCTTTTGAAATTTTTGTGATTTTTTCAGATTTCTCTGTTTTTTTTTTCTTTAACATGTTCAAAGTCAAAATAATCAACAAATTGGGATACTAAAGGAAAATTTTCATTTGATAAAAGTTCTAACATTTCTTAGGATCCCTGAGAAATGCCATGTTATTATTAATATTAGTAGTTTTGACATTATTTCTATCCAAGAATAAAAGTAGTCATGTTATTCTTTATAGTTTTAAAAACTAGGTGGGAAGAAAGTGTCAGTTTAATATTTTATATATGTGAAACAGGTGAACAGTTTTTGTTACATATGCAGAACCTAATTCTGAACTGCATTCATAGGTTCTTATACTCAAAATCTATTGTTAAATATCTGTGCTATTTGTTTGCAGGAGTTGAGGGAGGTTTTATTCCAGAAGAAGGTACTAAGTATGAAGTTTTGGACTTTACTTCTATTGTAGTGTTACCAGATTTCATTGAGATCCCTCTTCCCAATCCTGATCTTCCAGAGCTGGTATGTTAACTTATTAATTTTTCTCAAATTTGGAAAACAGTTATAGTTGTGGATATCATATGACTAGTTCCTTGGCAATATAAAGTTGCTATGTTTCATTAATAAATTCATCAATAAATTTTTATATATTGTATCAATATAACTGAAAAGTAAGAAATGAAATTCCATGTTAAATATTTGAAATATCACAAAATGTTCCTTTGAAACATTTAGATAATAATTTGGAATTTTTCTGGTTCAGAAACATTGCTAACATATTTTATGAGGTTGAAAAAATGAATATTAAAAAGAATTGGAGTATAATTTTAAACATATTTTTTGTAAAAACAATTGTGATTACATCTATCATTTGTTATGTGTACCTCAAGTAATGATGGGAATAGAAGCTAAAGATTACTAAAGTTGTATCAGTCATTAATGGTTCTCTCATATTAATTAAATTTTATCTTGCGTTGTCTGGGATTCTTTGTGAGCCATATTTGTAAATCATTCACAAATTGGAAAAATAAATATGTTTTAGATGCATTTGGTAACAAATATTGAGTAGAATTTCACAGTTGATGAATTTTGTATTTATTTGGTCAAAATGATAAAGAAAACCTTATGTTTACAAACATTGCTACACAATAAAACTATTGTTTATTTATCAAAAAGTAAAAATGCCATAATTTTAATCAAAGAACCAAATATAAGCTAGCCTTAAGCAATATCCAGTCATATGACTTTGTTTCATACTATGTATATATTCGTATGTCTTGGTAAACTGTCTATCTGATGATGACAAAATATGTTTTTAAAGTTGTGTTTCACTAGAAAATGAGTTAAACTACTTGATGTGGTACTATAACAAGGTTTCAATAAAACCTGTTCAAAAATTAAGGTAGATTGAAAATCAAAAAATGGATTATATATCTCAAGTGGTGATAGGTTCTAAGCAAAAAGTTATTCTTGTGGATGGGCAGAAAAATTCTAAATAGAAATTGACGTGGGTTTTTTGTTTACAAGCAAAACCCTTTGCAGCTGTACAGAAATGAACATTTTAACTTTTTTCTTTGTGAATTGTAATAAATAAATGTTAGAAATTGAGAAAATATCAATTCTAAAATAAGTTTGAGTTAAAATTGTTGAAATATAGTTAGAAGCTAACCTATATAAAGCCAGATAAAATAGTTCAATTACTCTGCCCATTATGATTTTAGTGACAGGGGTGCAAGAAGCTGTGAAACCTTATACGTGTAGTGAGTGTTGGTATAATAAGCCTAAAGTAAAGATGTAGTGTGGGATCACCTAGACTAGAGCGAAGTGCATAAAAAGTTATCATGAAAGTAAAAATATCAATTCAATTTTAAACTTAAATCATTTTGAATTAAGCTAATGCTGCATTCCAACAATAGCGGTGGGTGGTGATGACTAGCTGCCTTCTGTCTGGTCTTTCAATGCTAAATTATGGATGGCTAGCTCAGATAGTCCTCATGTAGCTTTGCACGAAATTCAAAACAAACCAAACCAAATTGCACTTGCTTATTAAATATCAAAGAACACAGTAACTCAATTATAAATTACAAAAACAATAAAATGTACAAAATACTGTAAATTTACTCTGTTTAACACTAAAGTACTGGTAAGTACTGCCAACCAGTTGTTATCCCTCTAGACAGCAGTTTAAAATTAGTGACAATTGCCTATAACCTTAGTTGCTTTGAAATAACGGGTAGTGAGAACAGGTTTGAGTTCATCAAATCATGAGGCAACCCTCCTCTCATAATGTAGTTTTGTGCTTAAGAACAAACAAACAAACACTGGCAATACATATTTCAATTATGTGGATAGTTGGAATAATCAGAAACTCTAATTTTGATTAGTTTATTATTTTCATGACATTTGATTTTAATGTAATTTTGATTAATCATTTGTTGGAATAATCAGAAACAGTGATGATTGGAACAACTAGTTTTGGTGACATTAATTGATTACTTTATGAGACACTAATTGATATAATTGCTGCTCGTAGGCCATCACTTAGAGTGATTAAGCAGTTAAATCACCTGACTCTGTTCCTTTCTTTCTCTCTCTCATAGACACACACATGAAATTTCTTTCACTTTCATACCTGTGTCTTTAATTGGCTTAACTTTTAGCCTTAATAGTAAATCTTATTTGATAACATAGATATGCTTGCATGTAGATAGTTCTGACACTTCTACATCCTAGATTTGCTAATATTCAGCACAGCTGTCAAATTAGTAAATTCTACCCAGTTAATAATCCTTGGATATAAAACTAATAATGGTTTGGCCAAAGTCTAAAATATTTGTCATTTTTCTTTTAATTACTTCAACATACACAAAAAACTTTTTAGTAAGCCTCATTATGCAATTTCTTTGTACAAAATAACTTCTAATGTAAGTTTTTTGTTTTCAACATAAATGTTCAGATCTGTCCAGTAAAATAAAATTTAGAGATACTATAAAAAGGTAAATACACAAGTTTGTTTCAAAAGAGACCAGGATGGTATAGCCTAGTGAATGGTGTGTTAGGATATGGATCATGGGATACAGAGTTCTAGATATGGTGCAACTGAACATTTTCCTGCTGTGAGTGCATTATAAATGTGAGAGTCAATTTCGTTATTTGGTTCCAAGAATCAAACAATGACCTTATTGCGCCGAGTATTGTTAGCTGTGGTCAGTAATTCAAAACTAACAGTCTCTGACCTGGTCATTTAGTCCATGTGTGCATAAAATGCTCTTCAGGTTGGAAATTACAATTCCAGTATTTTAAAAGCTTTTGTAAAAGTCGGATACCAATGGATCTGTATTATAATATATGTTGGAAACATGATGAAATAAATTAGTCATATGTTAATATAAAATACATTAATAAAATAGAAGAGCATATACTTACATATATCTATTACAAAAATAGATGTAAAACAAAAATAGTAATAGAAATTTCCATGGTTTAAGATAATATCATGTGATGCATTTTGAGTTATCACTACCAAGGGCCAGATAAGTTCTGATCAAGAAGTTAGCACATAGAATCACATACACAAAAGTTATAATGGTTTTCTGAATAAGAATAGTGAACTATTTGAAAGTGTTAGAGCTTTGGGTCTCGTTTGAAAACCATTACAAGTGTCAGAAAAGATTAACCCAGCCATTGATTTAAATCAATTTTGCAGTTTTCTAAGAAGTAAGTGTTGTTGTATTCTCAGGTTAAATAATTTCTTCATGATGTATCATTAAAAATGAACAATATTTATATTGAAACATGAAACACTTTGCGTGTACTTCTGTTGTATGCTGGAGGATCACTTTCTACTGGACATGTAAGTTGATCATAAGCTATTCTTCCCTTAAGATGTATTTCTGCTGACCAACTAACTTAAGATACTGTTTAGAACTGTTTGAATTCAGTGCTCCTTACTTAACAGGAAATGTTGGATTTACTTATAGAAACTAGCACTGTCCACAAGGTTGGTTATTCTCATCAGAGGGGAGGCCATAGCTTTATAAATCATATGCTCTATTTGTGAAGGGCACAGCTGTCATTGACCATCAGCAGTGTTACAGAAATATCCCAATGGGTGTAGAAAATATTATCTCTAGTGAACAACAAAGAAACAAAAGTAACTAGAATAAAATAAACTTAAAAGAGTTTTGGACTTTGTGCTTATACAAAACTACATAAATTCAGACTAAACAAAAAATTCTGAAAATTGCTGCATTAAAATGAAAAGGTAAAAATTGCAGGTATACCTTCATACAACAGTGTAACTAGGTTGGTTATCAGAACAGGAATATATTAATCACCATTGTGTTCAAGTCTGTTTTATAATACTAACATATAGAGAGAACACAGTTTGAGGAACTCAAAGATTAAAACTCATTATTTTTGTCAAATAAGCTTAGCCAGTGGTAACTGCTCTTTTTGATACGATTGGCTTTCTGGTATTTTTATGTTATGTTCTACATTAACCAAACTTGCATTTAGGTGGCAAATTTTATATATATATACACATCTATTTCTTGTTATAATTTACAAATCACCCTACAAAATTGGTACTTGAATTACAATCTGACATAAACATTTCCATTATTATTATTATCATTATTATTTCTAATAACTTGTTATAAATACTTATATAACGCTGAAGCCTCTATAGTTATTAATTTTATTTGTTTATGGTATATTTCATAAAGTTCTTTCAGTTTACTTAGTGAATTAAAAAAATATTCAAACACTGTTTAAGATTTTTCTTTTATTTCAAATAAAGGATTTAATAAAAAAAATATTTGCTTTCATACACTAAAGTAGAACTTATCATGTTTTATATTTTTGATATAAAGTTCACACAGACAACAATCAAAATTGATTGAAAAGTGAGTGTCAGCAAAATTTCTCAAAAAACATTGAAAGTGTTAACAGGTTTCCCATGTATCCTGGAAAATGGAGAAAATAATAAATATCCTAGAAAAGTCATGAAAAACTGTGACTTTATGAAACACATCATCATATTTAATAACAGTTGATTATTTCATTGAATGTCTGACTTATTTAAAATGTAGGTAATTTAATATAATTAAAAACAAAAGTGAAAAGGTGTGAGGATTGAATAGATATGAGGGGTGATGCAAGGCTATAAAGTGTCATGAAAAATGGCTGAAATGTCTTGGAAAATAATCTTTAACCAAGAGTAGGAACCCCATTTTAAGTGAATTTTTAAAGCTACCAAAGATTAGAAACTGCACACAAAAAAAACATCCAAAAAAGTGACCATAAAAAGTATAATTCAGAAACTCCAGCACACGTAAATAAAACCTAAAAGAGGCTTTATATGTAATTTAAGACTACTAAATCTGTAGTCCATTAGGGATGTAATTTCTAAATATTAGGGTTTGATACATGCAAAAAGATAATTTCATTCTCGAAATCCATGTGTAGAATTTCTCTAGTAGCAGTTGGTTACACTTTCCTAGTTTAAAGAGATAAAAAATATTTGGTTCTTTTATTCCAACAGCAATATTTTTTCACATAAGAATTCTGTTTTATCAATTGCTAAAATTGATTCTTGCATAAAAATAAGTAACATTTATTTAATAACATAACTATTGTAATAATTATGTCTGATTCCATTGTGTCAGATGATTTCAGTATTTACTTTTTTGGGTGTTTATTACACATTTATCCAATACATTGCTTTGCTAAAGGTTGTGTCAAAACAGGTTTCTTTGCAAGTTGGAGTTGGATGTGGCCTAAAGTGTGCCAGACTGTGAATTATAAGGTTTAATATTTGTGCTGTGATATGCTGCTGATCATACTCCTGCACTTCCATCATAGGTGGCAGGTGATGCTCTTTCGTTGCTATCTCTCTAGTAGTAGTTTAGCCCATGTATTGCATAAAATACCAAATACCCATATTCTTTATTTCCAATTGTTGACAAATTCAATTTATTTTTACTGGCAAAGTAGCAACAATAACATATTAGAAATGTAATCTTTAATATATATCATTAAGAGTTTCATTTGGAAAATATGTATATGCTGTTTGAGTGCAATTAAATACCATGCATTTTGAAGTATCCTATCCCATAATAATATAGGCAATAACAATCTAAGGTGTAATGCTTAACTTTGAAGAATGTGAAACAAATTGTTTCAAGTTTTCATTAAATAAGCTACATTAACATGTTAAAGTTTATGTTTTACTGGGAGTTGTACCCATTGTGTAGCCTTAATCATGAAAGTAAACATAGACATTCACTATGTTAAATTATATTTTTAGTTGTGACCTTTTGGCTGTCTTAACTAGGGCTTTTTTTCACTTCTCTTGTGTGAAAAAAACTAATAAATTAACACAACTAGCAATAAAATGAATGGTTGTCAATACTTTTAAATGAGTTTTAAAGAAGAACAGTCCAGACTTAAATAATATGAAAAATAAGTGTTTTTTGTCCTCTATCTTCTCAACATTTTGTTAATGATAGATGGATTACTAAATTACAGTTTGGTCACAATCAAACCTAACCAATTTGTTAAGTTTGGTATAAGTGGATAAAGGTTTAGATTTTTTTCAGATAATACTTCTACTAAATGATAGTCACATTATTCCACTAATATTCCTGCTCATATAACACATCTGTTATCAACCAGTTATGAGAATGAAGTCTCATTTCAACAATAGGGGTTTACTCTTGGTACTTCTGCCAACTATGCTCACATACCTTTGGTGTTCCACTGTTAGATTAGCAAGATCAGTAATGAACAAGTTGGCTGGAGAAAACTTCCAAATTCCAATGATTTCTCAGTCTGCCTGTGAGAGGCCATGGAAGTCAACCCTACTTTTTCTGTTCTATGTCCAGTGGGGCAATACTTTTTGCATGTACTGTATAATTAAATTTCAGAAGTTGATATTTAATTTTTATGAATTTCATGCATATTTCATTTTATTTTAAAGGTGCAGTTATCTGTGGCTAGCATATTGGCAGCACAGTCTCCAACAAGAGCTGGGGAGGCCAGTGCCTTAGAAGGGACTTGGGATGGCGAGAAAAGAAAGGTTTCAAAGTAGGAACAATATATATAACAATAACTAAACATATAGAAGTTTGGTATATTACTACTTAGTTTTTCCAGTATTACTCAGTCTCCTGTGTTATATGCAAAAGAAGATTAATTTCAACACTTCATCTTACAACAAAATAACCCTTCTTAGTTTCACAGTATTTAAGTTGCTGACAAAATTTTGAAGTGAGTTTTTTGTGAAGGTTATTGTATATGTTGTAATAGCTAAATGAGTTTTTATATAAAGCACAAATAGATATTTAAGATTTTAAAGAGGACATGACACAATAGGCTCTCATTTACTATCATGTGAAATAATTCTTCTTTGCAAAGTATTGCATATCATTTATATCATATTACTGAACTTTTCTATCTATTGACAAATCATATATGAACTTGACATCATAGCTTTCTTGTTATTTATATAATATATAGTTACTTTGTGTGGCTCAGCAATAAGTTTGAGATTCATAACACTAAAATATGGGATTTGACCTAAGTGATAGGCACAGCATACATAGCCAATTTTGCAGCTTTTTCCGTAACAACAAATAAACTGTAATACGTCTCATATGTTTCTGTTTATTATTCTTAGTAAAATCATGAATAATAGGAGAGTGTAGCATCTTGTTTCATTCAAAAGAATACTTTTTTTTTTATCCAAATGTTATCAGAGAAAAATGTTTTAATTATTTTTCTACTTTAGAGCACAAAAGGTAGAAGTGATTTTTTAAGCACGTTGGTTTCTCCAAGTGTTTTAGGTATATTTGAAAATAATCATGGATTTTCAAAATCTTTTAAATAATAAGATTTCTTCTAGTATGAAAACATATAAAAAAAAAGTAAATAAAACAACAAGTATTTATATTTTTAAATCATATTTTTCAAAATGGGCAATGTAAAAAAAAAAGTTCAGGTCTAAACAATGCTATCAAATGAAAGGGAAGAAATTAAATATTCCAATACAGTATATTCCCTCTACTCACAAAATAATACCTTTTCTCAATTAGTACTGCCTTCTTTCAGGACAAATTTTCAAAGCTATCAAATGAAAGGGAAGAAATTAAATATTCCAATACTTTATATTCCCTCCACTCACAAAATACCTTTTCTTGATTAGTACTGCCCTCTTTCAGGACAAATTTTCAACACTCGCCATTAGCCTTCCACCTCCAGCTTTTGCATATCCACATGTAAATTATTATGCAGCAGCAGCTCTCCACCAATAGGAGTGCAACACAACCCAGCACCCTCTCCACATTTGCACTCATTAATCACTTTGAGATTGGAAGTAGTACTGTACAGATGTGCTTTGTGGAATTAATCAGGTTTGTGCTGTCTTATACTTATCTTCTGTTTCCTATAATTCTCAACCTGCCCTCCTTGGTGAAGAATCTATGTGCCAATATTCAGTGTTCCCTTCCTCACTTGATGTTGGGGTTCATGCCCAGTGTTTTGAAGATCAACTTCAGTCAGGGGTTAGTATGCCTCATCTGCCTTGTACATCTGAAGATCATTCTTATGCATTTCATAGATCTTCCCTTATCTTGATTCCCAACATTTGGAATCTCTCACAACTTTTTGACTTTGAACCCTAATGTATCGATGAATTTCTCATAACCTCAATTTTCAAATATCAGACTGATATTATCCACAATTCTACATGTAATATTAACTATTGTTACGTCTCTGTTCGTTTGTTAATTTCCCGTAGAAATTCTTCCCGAGAAACTTCAGCGATACAAGTCCTTTCTTAAATAAAACTAGTTTATTCTTTCTCAATACAACTTTGCAATACAATCAATTTAACTTAAACACACGTTATAATTCAAAATGAACGATTCACACACTTTACTTACTACCGCGCTTGACTCAGTTGTCCGTCTCTATCTCTGCCTGTCTGCAATTCCTAATGCCGATTAATTGTCTGGCACATTTATATACAAAAATAGAGGGTGCCTAGCAAATACTGGATTATTCGGGAAGTTCCCCGATCTTTCTAGAACTCATTACGTGTTACCAGCGTCATGTGACTTCCGCTGTCGTAACACTGCCCCTTCCTTAGTATTGTTTGTCCCGACCAATAGCCACTTAAATTAAACCAATAGATAATTAACAATAACTTAATTAAATGTACAGGATTTACAAACACAAAATTAAAATTCAACAAAGTCTCTTAATTTTACAGGACGTATCTCCTTCTGTACTAGTCTCTGTCTTGTTGCCTTCTGCTTCACGTAAAGTTCATCTGCTCCATCAGGAAATGTCCTATTATCGGTAACAGTCACATCAGTTGTAGTAACTTCATCAAGGGCTTCACTGTTTCCCTTCTCAAAACCGGGTAGAGTTTCTTCTTCGACCGTGGCTTTTTCAGGTGACACGTCTTCAACAGCGTCATTTGTTTCATTGCTCACTTCGTTCAACTGAAATGTCCTGGACCGTGATAATGCCAAAGCCTGTTGGCATGCACCACCTTTGGCTTACCTCGTCGACCACATTTTATTCAGAAAGTCAGGTCTGAGAGACTTCCCTTTGGTCTTCCTGGGATTATACAACCACACCTTGTCTCCTGGTACAAAGCTGACTTCA